CGTAGTAGTAGTAGTAGTAGTAGTAGTAGTAGTAGTAGTAGTAGTAGTAGTAGTAGTAGTAGTAGTAGTAGGAGTAGTAGTAGTAGTAGTACTAGTAGTACTAGGTAGTAGTAGTAGTAGTAGTAGTAGTAGTAGTAGTAGTAGTAGTAGTAGTAGTTAGTAGTAGTAGTAGTAGTAGTAGTAGTAGTAGTAGTAGTAGTAGTAGTCGTAGCCGTAGTAGTAGTAGTAGTAGTAGTAGTAGTAGTAGTAGTAGTAGTAGTATTAGTAGTAGTAAGTAGTAGTCGTAGTCGTAGTCCGTATAGTAATAATAAAATAATCGTAGTAGTAGTAGTAGTAGTAGTAGTAGTAGTAGTAGTAGTAGTAGTAGTAGTAGTAGTAGTAGTAGTAGTAGTAGTAGTAGTAGTAGTAGTAGTAGTAGTAGTAGTAGTAGTAGTAGTAGTAGTAGTAGTAGTAGTAGTAGTAGTAGTAGTAGTAGTAGTAGTAGTAGTAAGTAGTAGTAAGTAGTAGTAAGTAGTAGTAGTAAGTAGTAGTAGTAGTAGAGTAGTAGTAGTAGTAGTAGTAGTAGTGTCGTAGTAGTCGTAGTAGTAGTAGTCAGTAGTAGTAGTAGTAGTAGTAGTAGTAGTAGTAGTAGTAGTAGTAGTAGTAGTAGTAGTAGTAGTAGTAGTAGTAGTAGTAGTAGTAGTAGTAGTAGTCGTAGTAGTGTTAGTAGTAGTAGTAGTAGTGGTAGTAGTAGTAGTAGTAGTAGTAGTAGTAGTAGTAGTAGTAGTAGTAGTAGTAGTAGTAGTAGTAGTAGTAGTAGTAGTAGTAGTAGTAGTAGTAGTGATAGTAGGAGTAGGAGTAGGTGCGCGCGGAGGGCGCGCGAGGTGAGCGGGCAGGGAGGGCGCGCGGGTGCCCACGGGAGCACGCGACGCTCTTCGTGCTCGCGCCCCATCACTCGTATCCGCGCCTGCGGGGGGGCGACGTGGTGCAACTCCTTCTGGGCTGCCTACGCCCGCGGGCAAGCGCGCGCACGTAGATGCGGCGACCTCGCCTCGGTAGGTCTTGCGCCCGCCTCGGGCCCCCGTGACCCCCGAGGCCCCTGGAGGCCCCCTGGAGATCCCCGGAGAACTCCGGAGATCCCCAGGAGGCCCCTGGAGGCCCAGCGATCTAGGCCTCCTAGATGGGGTCGGGGTAGACGGGGTCCGAGGATCGCGCCGCATCGCCAACGCATCGCCGATGCGGCTCGATGTCGAGCCCGATTTGCTTCACGTCGACGTCGCCGATACATCGCTGACGTCGACGATGAATCGCCGGTGCATCGCCGGTGCATCGGCGATGCATCGCCGATGTATCGGCGATGCGGCGCGATCCTCCGACCCCGTCTACTCCGAGCCCATCTAGGAGGCCTCCAAGCAAGGGTCCGCAAGGGCGCGAAAGCGTCCGGAGGCCTCCCCCACACGAGCGCCGAGGGTCGGGGGTCGAGGGCGGCACGTGGCGCGTCGCGCCTTCGCGAGGGGCGGTCACGAAACGGTGAGGCAGCAGATGCCAGCCATCGAAGGAGAAGAAACGCCATACAGTCGGACCGAGGTATAAGATCGAGTGCGGTTCGGGGAGGGTGCCCTTGTGTTCTTCGCGCTTGTTGGATGCTCCTGTGTATCCTGGGGAGGGTACCCTTGGGTGTTCTGTTTGTTTTGGCCGACGGAGGGTCTCATGTTCTTGAGGGGTGTTCTTCTGTCCTAGGTCCGACTGTAAGCATGTACTGTTGGCGCTCCGCGCGGATTTCTTGGATCCGCGCGGGGCGCCAAAGGTGTATGCTTATGCCGTCGCTTTGTTCCTCTGCTGGCAAAGACGTTGCAGGATCTTGTCGACGCCGACCTTGGCCATGGTCAATGCCGGCCGTCGCCAATTCGCGAGGTCGCCGAGTGACGAGGACGATCCACGACTTGACAATGTCCAACATGGACGATGGCCAAGATCGGCACCGACGCCTCCGCGTTCAGCCTTGGTCATCAGAGGCAGCAGGACAAGATGGAGCAGTAGGAGGGTCAACTAGAAGAGGAGGAGGAGGAGGAGGAGGAAGAGGGGCAGTAGGAAGGAGGCGAGAGGATGGAGGAGGTAGCGAAGGAGGGAAAGGAGGAGAGAAGAGGAAAGGAGGAAGGAGGAATGAGGAAGGAAGGAAGGAAGGAAGGAGCAGGACGGAGCAGGAGGTGGGAGGAGGAGGGAGGGAGTCAGGGAGGAGAGAGGAGGGAAGGTGGGTGAGTGGGAGGGTGGAAGGGTGGGAGGGAATTGGAGGAGAAAAAGTAGAAGAAGGAAGAGTCGGAGGAGAATGAGAGGACGATACGAGGATGAAGCGAGGGGGGGAGGGAGGAGGAGGGATAAGGAGGGAGGAGGGAGGAGGAAGCAGGACAGGAAAAAGAAAAAGGAGGAAAATTAAAGACAGAGGAAGCGTACGACGAGCTGGGGTAGGAGGTAGATGAGGAGGATGAGCAGGAGGGAGCAGGAGGTCGTGGAGGTGGAGGGGTGGGGGGCGGACAGGGAAGGAGGAGGAGGAGGAGGAGGAGGAGGAGACTGAGGGATGAGGAGGATGGGGTAGAAAGAGGGGGGGGGAAGGGGCGGGAGGAGGACGGTAGGAAGGAGGAGGAAGGAGGAGGAGACAGCGGGAGCCGGCTTCGGGGCTCTGGTTTCTCTCTTTCTGGGACCTCGCGCTGGTGGACCGAAGGGCCAGAATTGGCCCGAGAGGGGGGGGGGGGATCCAGAGCCAGCGACGGAGGAGGAGGAGAGGGAGGAGAAGGAGGAGGGTGCTTTCTCTTCTCCACGCCCCTGCATCCTCTAGCAGTCCTGCCTTGTTTCTCCTCTATCATCACTCCTCCCTCGCTCCGCCTCCCCCTCCAAGATGGAGAGGGGGGCGTCGTGGGGAGGGGAATCGGGGGGCCAGGTTAGTGTGTAGCCACGGATTGAGGGGAGTTCTACTGGAGCTCACGCTGGCGGAACACGACGCCACCTCGTGGGCCCGTGACAGCTAAAGGGGGCTGGCGGGGGAACCGAGGGCGGGACCTATCGGTACGAGCAACGACCGGAAGGTTCGGCACACTGGGCGATTGAGGGCGGGACCATAGCGACGATGGGAAAGTCCGGCTTACAGGGCGCCCGAAGTCCAGAGCTTGATGGGCGGGAGCCCGAGCTATTGTCTTTGGGAGCGGAAATCAAGTCGTGGTCAATTTGGGTCGATGTGCTTCTGCGTCGGTGAACTGCATCAACTGGACGACAGCGAGGCCGTCATGATCTGCACAAAGAATCACCATACGTCACAAGCGGCAGCGCACGCACACGCGTCACCTATTTGAGCCAGAATGCGACATGAGACACTGACAAGTACGCCCCAAAGGGACCACTGACAATACAAGCACCCCTTCGGCGAGCATGTCTCACTGGCCGTACCAGCAGCCACTCGTCCGTAGAAGCACCCCCCAGGAACACACGGACACCCCCACCAGGAGCAATCATACACCCAATGGGGCATCCAAGCATGATCCCTCTCTGTCCCTCTCTCTGTACGCGCGGGATCCGATTGGGGCCGACGAGAGCATGCTGCACGGGCGGCAAACAGGGACGGGCCCCCGTGGGTGGGTCCGCCCTGGAACACCGGGCGGCAAACGGCGGGATTCTGCGGGAGACGGCGGGGGGCATTTGGCGCACAGGGCAACTGCTGGCGCTGGGACCTGACCGGCGACGAACGGAAATCCCGGCCATTTCCTAGGCCTCCCAGATGGGGTCCGAGTAGAGGGGGTCGGTGGATCGGGCCGCATCGACGATGCATCGGCGATGCGGCTCGATGTGGAGCCCGATTTGCTTCACGTCGACGTCGCCGATGCATCGCCCACGTCGACAATGCATCGCCGGTGCATCGCCGATGCATCGCCGATGCATCGCCGATACATCGCCGATGCATCGCCGATGTATCGGCGATGCGGCGCGATCATCCGACCCCATCTACTCCGACCCCATCTAGGAGGCCTCTATGGGACCTGACTGCAACGGACAGAAATCCAATTAGACAACCAATCTGCGCGGACTCGTGCGCGGGGATCTTGTGGTCGACGATGGGACATCCGGCATGCAGGACGGCGAAGGGCGAGGCGTTGTGGGCGACGGCCAGGAAATCAGACATGTAGGACCACTGCTGGCGGGATTCCATTCCGCACTGGGGGGTACGACTTGACTCTTAAGGGATTGGGCAAGTTTTCTGCGTTTCCCGCGCTTTTGCACCACATGAGTTTCACCACATAATCTTGCTCAGAACCCGCATTCTCGTGACACTACGAGCTGCATCTGCATTGATCTAGCATGCGCCCAGCGCACGAATCCGTATCAAATAGTTCCATGCGTGCCACGCGCGCTCGCGCGCCGCCTCGCGTCCAAAGCGAATGGTCCTCGAAGCATATCAAGAGAGAACCGCTCAAAAACATATGGAAAGCACGTGTTGTTCTACAAAGCATGTGCCAGGTGTCCTCAATTTCTGTGCGCGCGCACTTCCCCACCATCACCCTCATCAGCGCCATAGCATCACCGCCACTACTGTCATCGTCAATCCCCGCCAGCGCTGCCATCTTCAATCAGTCACCTTCATCACCGACACATGGACATCAGCATCATCATCATCATCATCATCATCATCATCATCATCATCGTCATCATCATCATCATCATCATCATCATCATCGTCATCGTCATCGTCATCGTCATCGTCATCGTCATCGTCGTCATCGTCATCGTCATCGTCATCATCATCATCATCATCATCATCATCATCATCATCATCATCATCATCATCATCATCATCGTCATCGTCATCGTCATCGTCATCGTCATCGTCATCGTCGTCATCGTCATCGTCATCGTCATCAGCATCGGCGCCGTCATTGGCCTTGCTGTCGTCATCGTCAGCATCGCTACCACCATCGCTAATATCATCATCATTGCCGCCGCTGTCGACGTCATCATGATATCGCGCTCTCCCGAGTCACCGACCCGCGCTGCAAGGTCTGCGCGCCAGCACCGCCTCTTGAGACGCACTGGGAAGTCCCCAGCGGCAAGCGCCATCGCGGCCGCATCCGTTGTGCCAAACCAGCCGGCCGCTCTGCGCGCGAGCTTGCGCACGCCAGCGAGGCCGCAGAGATGTGCCAGCCAGTGCCAAGCAGTCACCGCAATCACGGCCGCATGGGCTTTGCAAAATAATTTAAGGGTGAGAGGGTGGAATGTTTGCGCGAGCTGTGGGGTAGACGATTTCAAGTTCTTCATGACACATTGCACCACATTTGTGTCTCCTCAGACTGCACCACGTATTTTTCAGCAGCAGAAATGTTGTATCCTGTAGGTTGCACCACAAACTGCACCACATAGGTTGCACCGATATAGTGCACCACGCAACATGCACCACATGTACTGTGCCAGATGGGTTGCACCTTGGCAATTGCACCACAGAGTTTGCACCACACAGACTGCATCCCATAGATGGCACCACATGAATTGCGCCAGTTGGAAAGCAGATCGATAGTGCAAGAGCCCACTGTTTGGGGCCCACGCTGGCACACCTGGGGCAGATGAGGGCGCGTCCCTGTGGGCGACGACCAGAAAACGTTTCCTTGAGTATCACTTTCGTATGAGGACGAAATATGTTTGGTCAAGCCTTGCTTGGAGAACATTGCCTGATGGAGTGGAATGGCTTGGAGAAAGTGATCGCCGGGGCGGCCCGCGAGACTGGCAGAAGAAGAGTGCGAGACCCGCGAGGTGAACGCGCAAGGGGTGTTCCATCTGGGGGGAAGGAGGGGAAGAAGGGTGGAAAGGCGGGGAGGGGTGCGGTTAGGGAGGACTGGGGGTTGCAAGAGGGTTTTCGAACCCGGGGGGGGGGGGGGGGGCGTTTTGTTCAGCGCCCCTCCGCTCTCCTGCGCCACGCCCTTCTCCTACCTGGAGGCTGCCCATGGCCACCCTGCCTGTCGGCGTCGGCGCGCACCAGGGCAGGAGGAGGAGGAGGAGGAGGAGGAGGAGGAGGAGGAGGAGGAGCCTTGCTCTCTGCTCTTCGCCTCCGAGGAGGAGGAGGAGGAGGAGGAGGAGGGAGGAGGAAGGAGCCTTGCTCTCTGCTCTTCGCCTCCGTGCTTCGCCACCTGGGCTCCAGGGCGGGGCAGCTCGGAGGCCCCGGCCTGCCCCAGGATGCCTCCCGCGGCACCCGCCGAGCGTGGCCGCGCGACCCCCTCGGCGTCCAGGGCCTGCGATGGGCCGACGAAGCCCGCGGGCTGGTCCAGCCACTGGCTGACCTCGCTGGGCCGCCGGCGGGCCTACCAGGCCTACTCGCCCGCGGGCGGCCCGGCCGCCAAGGCGCTCGTGCTGCACTACCACGGCTGGCTGGACTCCAGCGGCGAGGCTGCGGCCCGCTCCGGGCTCCCGCGGGTGGCGGACGAGAGCGGGGCGTTCCACGCCGTGTTCCCCGAAGGCGCGGGCACCGAGAGAGCGCCCCCCCCGGCGAGTCGGCCGAGGAAGGCTGCGCCGGCTCACGCGACCCCGGCGATGGTCGGGTGAACCCGTGCAGTGCCCGGTCGGTTTCGCTGACCGACGTGCCTCTCGCCGGGCACGTTGGGTTGCTTTTGTGGGCTTCGATCAGCTCCCCCGCTGGGGTTCGCAGGTGGAGTGCCCCTGGCCTTTCTCACGAAAGGTCGGTCACGCCGGGAGGGGGGTAGGGGGAGGGGGGAAGGCTTCTTGGAAGCACCCCTGCTTCTCAGAAGGCGCGGGCCTTGTCTGTAGATGTAAGGCCGCCGCCACCTAAGAAGCAGCCTCCTTCTAAGAAGCCTGCCCCCCTTCCCCATATCTGTGCCTCCTTCGCGCCGCATCGCCGATGCATCGGCGATGTAGCTCGATGCGGAGCCCGATGCGCGCCGATGCATCGCCGACGTCGCCGGCGAGGCATCGATGCGGCGCGATGCTCCGACCCCAGCTACTCGGACCCCACCCAGGAGACCTCCACCGTACCCCCCCAGTGCGCGCCGCCAGCAGAGGCGCGTTGCCAAAGGGCGCTCTGCCGGTCCCCGAGAGGAGCCCACGACGTGGGCGCTCCCGCGGGCGTCTGGGCGCTGGCGCTGTGCGGCCTCGGCCTGCTCCTCCTGGGCGCCCTCTGCCTCTGCTGCGCCTGCCGGCGGGCACGGGCCCGGGAGGCGCCTCCCGGGGAGGGGCTCGCGGACGAGAGCATCGAGTTCTCCGGGTGCGCCTCGCGGGGGCGCCACGAGGAGTCCTCGGAGTCCTCCGCAGGAGGAGGGCGGGGCGAGGCGCAGCGGCAGCGGGCCTGCTTCGGGGGAGGCCCCCCCAGTCGCCGCGGCTGGACGCGGCTCGGAAGCGGAGGCGTTGGCACTCCGGGAGGGCTCCCCCTCCTCCTCCTCCTCCTCCTCCTCCTCCTCCTCCTCCTCCTCTTCCTCCTCCTCCTCCTCCTCCTCCTCCTCCTCCTCCCCTCCTCCTTCCTCCTCCCTCCTCCTCCTCCTCCTCCTCCTCCCATCCTCCTCATCCTCCTCCTCCTCCTCCTCCTCCTCCTCCTCTTCCTCCTCCTCCTCCTCCTCCTCCTCCTCCTCCTCCGCCCTCCTCCTCCTCCTCCTCCAGCCGCAGTCTCAGCCTCGCTCTGCTCCGGCATCTGGCACAAGCTCCACCAGCGCCGCCGCCAGCGCCGCCAGTGCCACCAGCCAAGGCTCGTGCAGCCCCTGCGCTGCGTTGCGCTGGCCACTGAGCCACAGGCTGGAGGCCGCTGCTGTTGTTGCTTGGTGTCTCTGCGTCGCAGCATTCTGCTCTCTCGCAGCCGTTCAACCACTTGACTTGACTGTGCTGCAGTTTACTGTGACAATGAGTTCCTGGAATGCCAACGGCACTGGGATATCGCCCGTCGACTCGGATGGGAATACGCAGTGTTCCCAGTCCATGAGTTGGCGAGGGCACGTTTGCTACGAGAGCTGCTTCCTGCAGAACGGGTGCGCAGGCTACGGCTGCCAGTGGACGACCTGTGTCGACGACGTTGCTTTTTTCGACGACCTGATCTCACGCCTCGAGGGCGAGCTCTGCTTCGACCTGGGCCGCGTGTTCGTCACCGGCTTCTCGAACGGAGGCATCCTCGCCTACACCCTGGCCATGGCGCGCCCGGACCGCATCGCGGGCGCTGCGCCGACCGCGGGCTCCGTCGTCCCCGAGCACTACGCGGCCCTGAGCGTGCCAGTGCCGCTTTTGGATGCGCTCGGCTATCGCCGCCTCCGCTGCCACCGTGCGCAGGCGTGGGACCTGGACTCCCTCGGGTCATGAGAAAGTCACGGCGGCAAGTTTTCCAGTAGTTTCGGCCCCTGGGGGCCCTCACCGGCCCTCGGGACAGTCAAAGAACGACTCGGGATGCAAAACCGGTCCCGGGGAAAGGGTCCAGACCGCTGGGGGTCCACGTCATGAAAAATTCACGACGTCGGGGGTCTGGGGACGTCTTGGGCCGCACTCGGGCCTTTTTGGAGCCCTCTTGGGACCCGCCTGTTCTTTCAAGGAGCTTTCTTGTGGGGGAGCCTCCGAATGCCCACCTCGGCTGTGCCAGCGCCATCGAGGAGGCATTCTTCTTGGCGGCCCCCTGGACCGTCTGGGGAAGTACATCATGAGCCAGAAGTCTTCTGGAGCAACTACCAGGGCTCTCTTCGATCCCTCCGATTCGATTCGATTCGTTTTCGATGGCTTCCGATTCCGATTCGATTCGACTTGGGAGTCCGATTTGGGTTCCGATTTCTTCTTGGAGGCATACTAGCCTGCCGATGTCCGCCGATTCGACTTTTCCCGACTTGGCTGCCGATTTCCGCCGATCCGATTCATTTCAATCACCGATCCGACTTATCGATTCGATTCTGGGCTCTCCTGAACTGCTGAGGGGCGTACCCAACCCACCCAAGATGTCCAGCAGCGCAAGTCGGTGGCCCGGCGTGGGGTACCACCCCGCTGGACCTCCCAGAGGCTCTCGAGAGTGGCCACGGCTGGGCAGCTGGCAGCACCCAGTGCGCCGACGCGGGCGCCCAAGGGACAGTTGGCTTCCACTGTGGGGGGGGGGGGGATTCGATAGACCCACCGCGGTCCGGCGGGAGGAGGGGAGGAGGTAGGCGGGAGAGGGCAGGAGGGGAGGCGGCGGCGCTCCGCCCCAGAAGGAGGAGGACGCCTCACGAAAAGCCGCGGAGACGAGCGAGGAGAGGCCGCTGGCCTCCTCGGCCTCCTCGCTGCCCAGCTCCCGCCCCACCCACCCCCCGGGCCAGGGCTCGTTTCGATTCCTCCGATTCGATTCGATTCGATTTCGATGGTTTCCGATTCCGATTCGATTCGACTTCGGAGTCCGATATTTGGGCTCCGATTTCTTATTGGAGGCACGCTGGCCTGCCGATGTCCGCCGATCCGACTTCTCCCGACTCGGCTGCCGATGTCCGCCGATCCGACTCGTTTCGATCGCCGATCCGACTCGTCGATTCGACGTTGGGGGCGCCTGCCCCACCCACGGGGGCGCGCCCTCCTGCGGCACCTGCGTGGGCCGCCGGACGGCGGCGGCGGGGGGGGGGGGGGCGGAGAGCGCGGCCCCCGCGCCGGCGACGGGGCCCTCCCTCGAGGAGTCGGGGCCCGAGAGGCCCAGACCCCCCCTTCGGGCCATGGGAAAATCACGACGGGGAGCTTGTCGCTATTTTGTCGGCCCCTGGGGGCCCTCACCGGCCCTCGGGCCCGTCAAAAAACGGCTCGGGACGAGAAGCTGGTCCCGGGGACTGGGTCCAGACCGCTGGGGGTCCACGTCGTGAAAAATGCGTGACGTCGGGGGTCTGGGGACGGGGGTCAGTGCAACCGGGGGGGTCCGTCCGAGCCGCGGATCTTGCAGGATCCTGCAGGGCCAGGGTCGCATGGACCCGGGCTTGGGCGCAGGATCCTGCAGGATTTCGCAGGATCGTGCGAGGCCCGACTGGCCCGGGTGTGGATTGACCTTGGTCAGTAGGTCTCCGAAGGAGGGCCTCCCGCACCGCTCCCCACCCCTCCACTGCACCCCGGCCCGGCGAAGATAGCAAGCGATAGGGAAGGGGGGTCCAGGGCAACGATAGGCCGTTCCAGAGCGTTCCCGAGCGCTTCGAGAAGGCCGCGACCTCCGATACAGATTCCAGAGCCGCGGGATCTCAGAGATTGCCGATTTACCCCCACCCGAAATTATCCTCGTCCTGGCTTCGTCTTCTATGGCAGGGGTGGGGGCGAGCGGTCATACGCCACTCCCGATGGGGCATGCCCGATAGCGCTCGGAAGGGGGGGGGGGGGGGGCCATCTCGTGTCTACCAGTTCCTGGATGCCCTCGTCTCCGGGGTGCGCTCGGGAGGCAGGGAGCGACCTCTTGCCCGCCAGTTCCTGGATGCCCTCGTCCCCAGGGTGCGCTCGGAGGGGGGGGGGGAGCGCTCTCGTGCCTCCAGGTGTCTGGATGCCCTCGCCTCCAGGGCGTATACTCGGTGAGGGAGGGGGGGGGGGAGCGCCCTCTCGTCGGCGGGGGTTCCCGGGAGGCCGGCCCTCGCCGCCGCGGCTGCGGCCTCGCGCGCGGCTCGGAGGCCTGGCCGCGAGGGGCCCCGGGGGGGTCCGGGGACCCCGCTTGTGCGAGCGGAGCCGGGAAGAGCCGGGTCGGGCGAAAGGGGGGGGGGAGGGGGGTTTGGATCGGAGGCGAGCGAGGGGGAAGTGAGAAGGAGAAGGCCTTCTGAGAAGGCTCGGAAGTCCCCCGGCCTTCTGAGAGGTTTTCTAAGCCTTCCCCGAAGACAAAACAAGCCTCTCAGAAGGCGCGAGGGTTTCTGAAAAGTACCGCCGCCTTCTGAGAGGTCCTTCTCCTTCTCACTTCCCCCCTTCGCTCGCCGCCGACTGGAGAAAGGGGGAGGAGGGGGAGGGGAAGAGGGGGAAGGGAAGGGAGGTGGAAGGGCGAGGTTCTCAGCTGCCGAGGGGAAGGGGGGGTCACGAGATCTCCGGCGTGCCGCTAGCTTATTCGGCCCGGCCGCCCGGGGCGCAGTCCTCGATGCACGGCCGGCTTCGGCGCTCGGAGGCGCCGGCGAACACCGGCTGCGTGGGCCGAAGTCGCGAAGCCCCTTTTTTGCCCCCCCTTCGTCCGACACGACCCTGCGGGGGAGAGGCGGCTCGTCGGTCGCCGGGGGTGAGCCTTTCTGGAACAGCCAGCCCCGGCGTGCCTCAAGGCGACCGTTTTCTCACTCGCTGTTTTGCCGATCGCCGCGGGCCCTTGCAACCCCCTCCCCCCCCCTCCCCCCCCCCCGCCCATGGAGTAGATCTTGGCAGTTTTTGGCGCCTGTTTCGAGCACGTGGCGTCCTCCCCCATAGGGCGCACTGTTGCAGACAGTCGCGCTAAGCCGAGGTCCGGAGCTAGACCCCCCCCGTCCCCCCCCCCCCCCGTCCAATGTTCGGGCCAAACGAAAGAAGGGGATAGGGAAGGGGGGGGGGTACGAAATCTGCTGCATGCAGCTGGTTTCGGCCCCGCCGCCGGGCCCATCCCTCGATACATGGGCGCCTCCCGCCGGCGGGAGGCGCCGGGAAAATCAGCTGCGTGAGCTGATTCTCAACCCCCCCCGTTGCTAGCCCCCCCTTTCGCCCGGCGCCAAATGTCCAGACGCCCAAGAATCGACGAGCGCGTTCCGCTACTCGCCAAGTGACTCCTCGCAAGTGGCCTGTATCCGCCGGGGGGGATCTGCGAGAAATTACACCGAAGCAGACATTTGTTTTTCGGACGTCTGCGAGTAGGCACCTTGCGAGCAGTGGAACGCGCTCGGCGAAAGAAGCAAGCGTGAGGAGGGGGAGGGGGAGGGGGAGGGGGAGGAGGAGGAGGAGGAGGAGGAGGAGGAGGAGGAGGAGGAGGAGGAGGAGGAGGAGGAGGGGGAGGGGTAGGAGGCAAGCTAGGTGCGCTCGCGTCATATCTGACGTCCTACCCCTCCCTCCCATCCCTTACCATGGCGCTGATTTGCTCTATCCGCGGACGCGTGTCGTAGCGGACCTGTGCTCCGCGCGCGCGTGCGTAGTGGGTGGTGGTGCACGTGCGTGCGTGCGTGCGTGTGTGCGTGGTTGTCGTGGTGGTGGTGGGTGGTGGTGGTGGTGGTGGTGGTGGTGGTGGTGGTGGTGGTGGTGGTGGTGGTGGTGGTGGTGCTGGTGGTGGTGGTATGGTGTGGGTGGTGGTGGTGCTGGTGCTGGGTGCTGGTGCTGGTGCTGCTGGTGCTGTGTGCTGGTGGTGGTGGTATGGTGGTGGTGTGGTGGTGCTGGTGGTGGTGGTGGTGCTGGTGGTGGTGGTGTTGGTACTGGTGCTGGTGCTGGTGGTGGTGGTGGTGGTGGTGGTGGTGGTGGTGGTGGTGGTGGTGGTGGTGGTGGTGGTGGTGGTGGTGGCGGTGCGGCGCGGTGGTGGCGGGCGGATGGGCGCGCGAGAAAAAGGCCCGCGCTGGGGCGAGAACGCCATCCTGAACGACGGAGGCCAAACACCGATCCGAAAATGAGGCCCACGCTGCAGCGGGAGCACGATTCGGAACGATTCGGGAGCAGAGATGAGGCCGGCGCCTCAACGAGAGCAGCATTTTGGGAAAAATTGACGCCGGCGCCTCAGCGAGAGTCGTTTCCCGGGATTTCCCGGGCATCCTGTGTAAAAAACAGTACGCGGAGGGTGCGCGGCCATCACCAGGACGCCATCAGGGGAAGGATTCGGGAGTAGAAATGAGGCCGGCG